TTTATGTGTCTTCTCATTTCCGCTCGCGGGGTGGGGGGGATGTGCTTCTGGTGCCCACGTGGCTCAACTTCTGTGCCCTAAGAGCTTGGGATGGCAGCAGGGGAGCTTCGTTCTGGGTGCTGGGACTGGCTGAGCTTCACTGCCCTAGGAGCCTGGGATGGAGGCGGGGAGCTTCCTTCCGGGTGCTGGGACTGGCTCTAGGAGCCTGGGATGGTAGTGGGGGAGCTTCCTTCTGGGTGCTGGGACCAGCTGAGCTTCACTGCCCTAGGAGACTGGGATGGAGGCGGGGAGCTTCCTTCCGGGTGCTGGGACTGGCTCACCTTCTTGGCCCTAGGAGCCTCTTACAATAAAATCTAAAAATTTCTTTAAAATTTCCACTTTTATAACCACTCTTCAGATGATAGTGCTACTTAGAAGGGGAAGAGCCTGCAGATTCTGGAGATTATAAAATACTACTCACTCATCCAACCAGCATATATGGTACTACAGTGCCTTAGACTCAGTGTAGGAGCAAACAACATATATGCCAAAGTCCTCACTTTCATGCAACTTACATTCTTATGAACAGGGTAGCCAAAAATAAACAAATATATCCACAAAGAGTAACAAATGCTGACATGACTATCATGGAAAAGGATCCCTCCTACGTTGCTGGTAGAAATGCAAATAACTAGTAAAACTAGTTTGGAATTCATTATGGAAATTTCTCAAAGAACTACAATTAGAAATTCCATATGACTCAGATATTCCCCATCTATGTATCTTCCTTAAAGAGTTAAAGACATCACACTACAGTGATATATGCATATCAATTTTTATAACAGCACAATTCATAATAGCCAAATCCTGGAAGTAGTCAGTATATTCAGCAACAAACAAATGGAAAAAGAAAATGTGCTATCTATATAAAGCAGAATACTACTCAGCTTTAAAGAAGGATAAATGTGAGACATTTGTAGGAGAATGGATGCATCTGGAAAATATAATGTTGAGTGAAATAAATCAGTCACATAAGGGTTCAGTGGGCCAAGGGTGAAGGGAGAGGGCCAGGGGAAGAGAAAGTAAGTAGAATTAAGATATGCTATGTGCAGGAATCTAATAATCTTAATGAATTGAAACATTATATATTATAAACATGAGGTAAAAATTATAATAACAACAAGAATGAAAATGGGGAAAGGGGATTTAGAGGCATAGGGAGGGAGGTGTGTGGGAAGGGGACAAGAAAATGAAACAAGCTGTATTATGTACATGCACTATGTACATGCACCTCCTCCCCAAGATGAATATAAACATCATCACTGATGTTTAAACATCATTGCAAACATGTACTGATCAAATTTTTTAAAAGAAGACACATTAAAAGTTCTCTATACTGACTTCTTCTAAACTGATGTACAGCATTAATCTGAGTCTAAAATCTGACAGAACAAAACATAGGGTTTGGAAAATATTTTCTTAGATGTAGATATAGTTAACTCACCTATAGCAGAAAAACCAGAACATGAAGTAATGGTTCAATGGTGACCAGTGGGGCATGGCTGAACTCAGAGCCATAGCTGAGATGTACTCTAGACCAATGTCCCAAATATAGGTTCTGCCACACTTTGTATGTGAAATGTTCCTAAAAGTCCATGTGTTAAAAGTTTAGAAGCCTGCGGTGATACTGGGAGGTCATGGAAGCTTTAGGAGGTAGGATCTAATAGAATGATGTTAGGTTATTGGAACAATGCCCTTGAAGGAGAATTGGGATCCCACATACCCCAGTGTATCCTCTGCTTCCTGGCTAGCATGAAGTAAGTAGTTTTCTCTGGCACATGTGCCCACCATGATATTCTTCCTTGCTGCAAACCCAAAGACAACAAGGTCAATCAGCTATGTTCTGAAACCAAGAGTTAAAATAACGCTTTTCTTTTTATATCAAGTATTTTGTCACAGCAACGGAAAGCTGACTAACATGGGTTCCAAAGGATCTCCTGGAGTGTTTTCTGAAAATGTAGATTTGTAGGGCCACTGTCAGAAACTCTGATTCAATAGGTCCAGAATAGGTCACAAAATGCTGACCAAAATATGGGGACTAGATATAGCCTGATGAGCATATGGTACCTAATAGCTGAGAGATATGGGGCTGGGCTCTGGGTTTGAAGGTAATTAACTGTGTAACACTAGACAGGGCAAATTAACTTCCCTGAGCCTCTGCCTCCCAGTCTGTAAAAGAGGGGACAGGAATAACATGACTGGCTGTGGTGAAAAACACCAATATGTTTTTGAGTGTTCACCTTTCTGAGTATGATAACTACTTCCTACCTCTCCAACCTAACCCAAAGGTGTATTATTATCTTGGAAGGGGTAGGGATAGAGGAAAGATGAGAGTTTGTTTCAGAATGTTTGCAAAGAGAAAGAAGCACTTGGTATTTAGATTATGGCATTCAAAATAGGATTATGCAGAAATAACATTTCTATGAGAGAATATTTCTATTTTACTTTATCCATTCCTACACTCACCCTTTTGATATACCTCACAATAACATAAGGAAAACCAAGTATAGAAGTTTTAAGTCATGAAAATTCTCTTATAATTTAGAAAATAGACCCTCTATTGATAGCAGCCAGGCCACAAGGTATGGAATTCTATAGTAGAGTGAAGGTATATTAGGAGAAAAAAGTAGAAAACCTCAGCCTTCTTTGTTTTGGGGTTTTGTTGTTGTTGTCGTTGTTTGTTTCTCTTTTTGTTTTAGTGAGATAGGATCTCACTATGAAGCCCCCGCTGGCCTTGAACTTGCAGTTATCCTCCTGCCTCAGCCTCTAGAGTCTCAGGACTATAGGCGAGCACCACCATGCCCAGCCCCAGCACTCTTTGGTTGAGGCAATGGCAGAAAGAAGGACAGGAATTGAGAAGAGAGCAAATGGGGCTGAAATGAATGCAGAGAAAAGGGGTGCACACACTTCCAGAGAAGAGGTGTCTGGTGTTGGTCCTCCTCCTTCCCAATTACTACCTGAACCCAAGCTTTATCTCAGGCTCTGTTTGGGCTGTGAGAGCAGAGGAGAGGGACAGATGTGGACTCAACTGATGTTGGGTGGGGTCGGGCAGCAGACTTTCTGGTGATTTTAATGTGTGTTGAGTTTGAGAGCCACTGGACTTGAATTGAACAGAGTGAACATATGGGTTCCTCCACCCTGCTTTTTAACAAGAAGCCCTTGTGTAAATAAAGAGGGTATTACAGACAAAAGGAAGAAGCTCGTGTTTGTTAGAGAACCTGATCATGGTGGCTGTATTTGGCATGCTAAATATGCAAATAAAAACACTATATAAAGAGCTCATCTCTAAAAACATTTGCTATAGCCAAGGTGCAACCCAAAGTACGTAATTTTCTGGCTAAGATGCCAAAAACCCAAATAGGCAGAGAAATAAAATTAAGAGTTTAGCTAAAATGACTACAGCTCACTCTTTAACAAAAACATTATTTTCCCCCTAAATTAGAATGAGATGAGATAATCAAATGGAAGTGTTTTCTTAAATAGCTGGACATTTGCTGCAATTCTAGTGGGCTTTCTTTTTGGGGTTGGAGGTGGTATGGCAGTGTGGGATGCTGGTTAAAGGTGAAGCTTTGGAGTCAGAATTAATGAGGTTAGACTCTTGGATTTATCCACTACTAACTATAACTTAATGTCCTTGGTAGTCATCCATGTTGCCGCAAATCACAAATGGCAGGAGATATATATCTGTACGTATTTCACATTTTATGCACCCATTCAGCCATGATAGACAGCTCAGTTAATTCACCTGGGGAACTTTTTATAAAATTCCAGCATCTGGGTCCTACCAGAGTTTCTAATTTTACAGAGGAGAGGGAAAACCTAGACAATGATGTTTTTTGTTTTTTCTTTGGTACCCAGGATTGAACTCAAGACCTTGCACTTGCCAGGCAGATATCGTGTCTCTAAGCTACATCTCTGGCCCTACAGTGATGTTTTTAAAGGCTTCCAGATGATTCCAAAGGAAGGCCAAGATTGAGAATTACTGACATGGTGCCATTTTCCTGTGCATATCAGTGTAAACTACCTGCTAGGTTTGTTACCCTAGCAAAGAATTGTCTCCAAAATCCTAATTGGAGCTGTCACACTTTCTAGTTTTTATGCCACAACCACACCTGGAAGGTTTTCTAATTAGCATAATTAAGGTCAGAAATTGTTTTTCACTAATAAAATTAATAACTTCTTAACAAAGAATATTAGAAATGTTGTCTCTTTACCAAACTCTTGATATGTAATGTATGCAAATTGACTAAAATATTTAAGCAGAGTGAAGCCAATAGGTCAAGGATTGACAAACTCTCTGTAAAGCTCCAGATAGTAAATATTTCAGGCTTAGTTGGGCAAAAAACCAAGTCAAGTCATAACTGCACCCCCGAGATTTAATACAGTGCAGTAGTGTGAAACAAGAGCATCACATGCAATTTCTCTGGCCATTTCTGCAGTGCCAGATTTCCCATAGCAAAAAGCAGCCATAAACAATATGTGAACAAATGAGCTTCAGTTTGTATCATTTTCACGTCACAAAAGTTATTCTTCCTTTGATTTCTTCTCAAATACTGGGAAAAATGTAAAACTCAAAAACAAAACGTAAAAATCTTTCCAAACTTGTAGGTCATGTGAAAAGAGGTGACGCATCATATTTGGCCCATAGGCTGTCTGTCATTTAGTGCCCTCTGTTCTAGACTGAATCCTAAGCACCAACTCCCGGAGTAAATCCCTAGTCTCTTCTCTCTGCTGCTGTGAATGAAGAGAATTCCTAGAAGGATAACAGAATCCGGCCAACAACACGCAGTCATGTCGGCCTTCCGTGAACCTTTCATGCAGGATGACATTTAACCTCCTAAGTTAAACCTCCTAAGTCTCTATTTGGGCTGGTCTTGCCATCAGAGAGAGATCTGCACAGTGTTACTTTGTTCCTCCCCTTGGTTTGCTTCCTAAATGCTCTTTCCTGGTTTGGAGAAAGTGAAACTAACAGCACTCCTCCCCTTTGTGCTCTCTGAGATCTTTAGTCTCACAAAAGCTGGAGCCTGGCTGGCCTGGGGCAGTCAAACTCTGACAGAACCATGTCCTCTGTGCAGACCCTCGGAAGCCCCAGCCCTGGGCAGTCCTGTGTGCTGATTCTGATCTTCACAGTGCTCCTGCAGTCCCTCTGTGTGGCTGTAACTTATGTGTACTTCACCAATGAGCTGAAACAGGTGAGTATAACGCAGTCTTGGCAACTGTTGGGTTCCCTGCCTGTCAGCCTTTCAGCTTGTTTCTCCTACTGAAAAAAAAACAAATGTTCATTTGGGGTTGACTGCTAATGCACATAAATACTGAGAGCTTTATAAAAGTGTGAGTTCAAAAGCTTGTGTGAACCAAATGCACTTGCAGAACTGGCTCTGTTAGTTACTAACAGATACAGCCAACAAAACTACCAAGGGTTTTTGTTAGTTTTTTGTCTTTAAAAGTTGCATATCTTATAATGTTAGCAATTGCTACCATTCATGAGTGCTCTCTGCCAAATGCTTTGTAGGTCTTACTAGTGAATTCCTGTGGGTGACGGTAGCTGATCAGGGCAGGCGCAGTGTCTGCTCATTGTCATTCTTCTGGGGTTGAGCATGTGGCTCCCATGTAGAAAAGGTTCACTAAATACTTGCAGAATGAGTGAACAAGTGCAAAAGGTGCCATTAATACACATGCAGCAAGCCAAGTGCTAGCCCACAGAGCACTGTGGCGTTAGACTGTAACTGTGCCTAATCTCAATGGATTTTAGACAGACACAGCAGAAAAGTCAGGCTTGAACCCTGCACGGACAGAAGCATTCCTAATGCACTGCCTATTTGTTCTCAGACTTCGTACTAGCTTCTCTTTCCCACTCCTTTCTTTTAAATATTTTAAATTAGTTGGTGGAAAGCCTTCACATAGCTAAGTCAGTCTTCCAAAAATGAGCAGGTAGAATAATATGCATCAGAACTAAAAGCAGAACCAAGGCTTAGAATGTCAAATTTCTTCTTTCTTCAAAACTAGGGGTGGGCGGAGGAAGCCGGATCTGTGGAATATGTTTGGTTTTAGAATTGTGTCTTCCTGTATTGACAATAACAAGCGAGAATGCAATGAACTGTTTTTCTACCTGCTCCTTGGACACAGGTGTGTCCTGCATAAAGTTCCTACTAAAGAAGTTATCAGATAGACTCAGCATTTGCCTATTCATGCCCTTCTATACCCAGGAATTAGTCCAAGTAGAAATGTAGAGAAAAAACTTACTGCCATTTTACTGTATGCACTACTCAACTGTACAGAGCTTCTGAAACTATGAATGCAAAACTTGAAGATTTGAATTTCTTATGTATATTTTAATTAATCATAGTTTTTTTGAGACAGGGTCTCATTATGTAGGCTGGCCTCAAATTCACAGTGATCCTCCTGCCTCAGCCTCTGAGTGCTGGGATTACAGAAATGCACCTCCATGCCTGACTTTGACTAGTCATATATTGTAGAGAACTGAGAGCTGGGAGGAACTTTGGGCACCCTGCTCCCACCCTCTCAAACCCCATTTTACAGATGAGGTGACAGAGAAGAGAAGTGGAGTTCTCTCCACAGGTCCCCCTAAATGATCCTTCATGCTGTTTGTGGTTTGCAGCAAGTGATTGTCAGAGACTAATGTTTGGGCAGCAGAGAGGATCAGTCCTGCCATCTCAAAATCTCTGTGCCAACAAAGGAGTCTCTTCTGGTTACTCAAGCTGCACCAGACAAGTTGGACTTGGCCTAGCCAGCTATCATATTTTGATGGCACCAAACACACTTCTCAGAACAAAGGACTTCTGGAGTTGAAGAGCAGGCTTGCCTTGCAAGAGCTGACTCTCCTTCCAGAGAGGTACAAATGAGAATAGCTCTCACACACCCGCCTATTCCCAGCACTCACATGTGGTTAGCTAGACCATAGCCCCAGCTTGTGATGTTCTGAGATAAAAAGGATGTGGAATAGAAGGGAGAGAGACACATCAAATTAGTCATCATTTATCACTCTTGGAATAACCACAACACGGAAATTCCCACATATTCAGTCAGCATCGGCCAAAGACTGCAGAGCAAACCAGCAAGTACCCTTATAATAAAGATGAAGGTAACATGCGAGGGTAATGACAGTGATTGAGGCTTCCTCCTCAGGCTTCTTTTAGGCCTAAAAATGTCTGAAAAGAAAAGCATCGAGGCCGGGGATTTAGCTCAGTGGTTCTGCCGCCTGCCCTGCAAGCGCAAGGACCCAAGTTCGATCCCTGATACCAAAAAAAAAAAAAAAAAGCGTCAAAATGTCCACACTTGTGATCTCTAGATAGCAAGCTAATGGGTGCCTTTCTTTTTTTCTCTACATTTTATAAATTTTCTACAGGGACTGTCATAAAAATATCTATGCTATCATATATGACGTTTATACAGATTTAAAGAATATGACATTTGTATACAGTCTTAAGAGAAAACAGCCAAGCACCAAATTGCAGCATCTGATCTCCACCCTGTGAATAAGAGAGGTCATCCAAAGATTAATGAGGAGGTGGGGTTGGATTGTGAGTGCTTTCCGTGAATTGATTTTCATTTTATTTTTGTCTGTTTTTGTTTTGCTCTTTTAGATTTGGAGGTGGTTGTTGTTTTAACTTTTTAAAAAAGTGTATTTTACTTTTTCATGTTTTCATGGCTGTCTGTGTATCCTGAATGCATGCAGGCTTTATTAACTCTTGAGCAATAAAGGAGTGACATTAGTTTGTCAGCCTCCTGTCTCAGTTGCTGCTAGCCACCATGACTGCCTGACCCCAGTGGCAGTCACCTCTACCACTTCTGCCCATGACCTTAGCCTAAAGGCTCTCAAAACTTTCCCAGTGGGATACTTTTCAGTTCCTGGAACCCCCACCACCACCACCACCACCACCATTCACACCTTTCTGTCCCAAAAAGTGACAGAGGTTAGTGAGCCTGCTTGTTTGGTTTAATCAACTTCCTCATACTGGATGATCGGGAATAGTGCCAAGAAAATTTTCTCTTCTTGGAAACACATTTGTGTTTCCAGCTCCTCCTGTCTTCTTTGTTCCTCTTATTCAGTTTTCTGGAAACGCTCTCCTATTTCTGAACCATATGTGACTAAACTTCCTTGGAAAGGCTTTTCAGCTGTAAGTAAATTGGACAGACAACTACCTGTCTCCAGTAGAAGCGCTTGGGGTGAGCAGTGGCAAGGAAGTGCCATCTAATTCCATGGCAAGTGGGTCCAGCTGTCCTTCCCTACCACATCTCCCAGAGGAATGTCCTACTCTCATCATTTAAAAAAGGAAGACTGAAAACCAAGAATCATTTGTTTTAAAGTAAATAAATACTAGGGTACATGGAACACTTATTAACTGAGGTTTACACTTTTGCACTTGAGCCACCTGGATCAAAATTCAAGGGACACATGGCTACACACACAGGACTGTGTGACTCTAGCCAAGACCTTTCATCAACAGCAAGGTTGTTTTTATTCAAAATGAGATTGCTTTTCTATAAGTAGGAATGGATCATCTTTAAGTTTGATCCCTTCACTAAGCTGTGCAGAACCTTACCTTCAAATAACAGATAAAATTATTATTATCTCATTTGTTTCTCCAGATAAAAGCAACTGAAGACTTGGTAGATTATTAGATAAACAAAATTAAATGAGAAAGAAGAGAAAAGGAAAAGCTTTTGGCCTGTGGGATCTTTCTGTTTTTCTTAATTAATTTGATAACAACCTGCAGTGTTCTAGGTGGTGGTGGTGGTGGTGGTGGTTGTGGTGGTGGTGTGTGTGTTTATAACATCAAGCAAGGACTTGTTGACAAAGGTGAGGACTTTGTAGTCAATGATCCTTCTTCCTCAATCAGAAGGAGGAAGCAAATATTCACATGATGTTTAAAGCCTCTGAAGGTAGGTGTCTGGCTGGTGTTGGCATTTAATGAGGCACCGTACAGATTTCTATGGTAAAGGTGGTTCATATGCTGCTATCCAAAAGACCAACAACCATATCACCCACACCTGCACCCTTCCCACCATACCCAACTTTAGTCAAAAGGCAAAGAGCAACGTGCCTACTTTATTTAAAGCATGAGCTTATCCAAGGTGCCAAAATTCTCTGAATCCATCATCAGTTTCTGTTGTTTTAACTTCCAGATGGTTAAAAGAAAAACCCCTGTGCTTAATATTGTGCTATATTCCATCTCACCCCAGATGCAAGACAAGTTCTCCAAAAGTGGCATTGCTTGTTTCTTGAAGGAAGACGACAGCTCTTGGGACCCTCATGATGAAGACAGTATGAACAGCCCCTGCTGGCAAGTCAAGTGGCAACTACATCAGCTTGTTAGAAAGGTAGGTAACTGCAGAAGCAGGCATATGAGGTCAGAAGAGGAGAAATCTTTAAGATTGTCAAGTCTAGATGGTGCATTGTGCAAATGAGGAAAATGAGGCCCAATGTGTTTAAATGATCTTCCCCAAATTCATAGAGCTAGGAAAAATGGCAGGTCCTGGCTGACTCCTGATCTAGAGCTCACTCCTCCACCCTAAAGAGCCTCCTTCTCTGGTCTAACATTTTTATTACACTTGATATACACGGAGGCACAGACAGGACCTTGTATTCATGGTTACATGGTAATAAGGGATGGGTAGTTTTTTACTTTCAGAAGATAAAAGAAACTGAATAATGATGTTTTATATTCTTCCCATATTGTTGATATCCCAAACTAAATATGTATTTATTTATTGTTTTGTATACATACAGAAATGACAAATGGAGGAAAAAGAGATACTTTAAGAAGTAAAAGGTGATGATGATGTTTTAATTTATAGTCAATAAATGACAAATTATAAAATTGTCTGTTTATGGAAGTTGCTTGAACAGGATCTCTAGCAGAAACACTGTGTTAGCTAACAGTTAATTTTACTAAATGCAGTTAACTGAATTTACTCTTAGCGATGTGAGAGGTCAAATTAATGTCTTCTCTTGCTGATCCCTTCTTTGTAAGATGGCTTTTAGAAATATTTGCCTTTGGCCTTCCTGAAAAGGTCAGATGAGAACACGGATATTAAAAATACACTGTGACCTAAGAAGCCCTGTGTATACTAACATTGTCTAAAGATACACTGGGGGAACTTCCAGGGTGGGAGGAGGATGTGTTTTAGACTTATTTGTTAAGTCTATTGTTTGGTGCTTACTTTCCCCCTTAGAAGCAGTGTTTTATTATGGTTATAGAGTTCTGGTGTGACCATGAGCAGTCCTCACAGGTCTGGACATCACCTATGATGCTACATCTATGGAAACGAAGTTGTATTTCCTCTTGGGCATCCCAGGAACACACCTGTTTCCTGGCTTCCCTGGAAGCATGGTCTGGGCCCAGGCCACCCACTGCACACAGCTGTACGGAAGCAGCTGTGACTGCTCAGGAGACAGCAGCAAGCAGCAAGAAAAACCCAGCATAGGGCTTTTCTGAAGACCCTCCGAAATGAAACCCTGAAGTCCCTGGGGTCAGAGGTTGGGGCAGTGACCCAGCTGCAGAGAAAAACTGACCTCAGAATTGGGGCAGAAATCAGACCGAAGAGCTGGGTGTATACCGGAGATCAGAGGAGTAGTACATATCATTTTCCTGCAGTTCTCTTTCTCCCTTCCATCATCACATCCAGACACCACCAGAGTAGAGAGAAGCTGGGAGAGGGCATGAAGGGGCTGGGTGAGAGGAAACAAAAATTTTCCATTGTGTTCAGGCATATCAGTTAAACATTCTATTCCCTAAACATCCTACTTCCGTTTTTGAATATATCTCATCAAATCCTCGCAGCAGCATTGTTACCCTCTTATATATGTATTAAATTGATGAAGAAGTGTAAACTCAGGTCAGCTATGTAACTTGAGGTGTCCCACAGAGCTAGGAATGGAAAGACATGATTCCAGGCTATCTGAGCCTGCTTGTCATCTCTCTTCATGCCGCTTCTAACACAGAAATAAGAATGACCTTTCTCTTCCTCCCCTGCTCCACTCCCTTCCTTCCTTTCGATCCCCAATAAGAGAAGGAAAGAGCAAGAGTGAGAAAGACCAAGAGACCAACAGAGAAATGAGAAGAGAAAGAGAGAGAGAGAGAAGGACCACTCACATTTCCTCACGCTCTACTTTTCCCACACCACAGCCCTCCACATGGACTCCAGTGAGTCCCCTTCTGGGGTCAGGGTTTGAGGGAGAGCACAGAGCTTGTTGTTTGGGTAGGAGTAAGAGAACTCAAGTTCTGGAAGTTGCAAAATGAACAACAGTGACAGAGAAAAGAGGATAGTGACAGGGAAAGGAGGATAGTGACAGCACTGAGTGAGGGGGGCTCAGAAGCCATGGATGAAGCTAGGTGTGGTGGGGATGTCCGTAGTCCTAGTACTTGGGAGGCTGAGGCAGGAGGATTGTGAGGTTGGGGGTAACCTGTGCTGCACAATGAGACCCTGTCACAAAAAAAGCCAGAAATAAGCCAAGTCAGGTTCTGTTCATTTAACAGAAAGGCTTAGTTTTCACTTTTTTACTGGTTTGGGGGAGTTCACTGAATGGTTAGCAAAGATATAGGAACTTGGTGTCATATCTTTCCCATGAGCATGAATGCCTCAGCTACATCCTCAGAAAGGAGAGAGCAGCACTATCCAGCCATAGCTTCATGGCCTGTATGTCTGCTGCTATCAGAGAGAGGTACATGTTTTATCATAAGGCTTGGATCTGTCCAATAATTTCAAGTGCAGGCGCTGTTACACAGGGTTCTTGCACACACACAAGCATGCACCTAGACATGCACCCTACATACAGATAGTAATGTACTACGACTGCCACCTTCTTTGGCCCCATGAAACCTGGGGGACATTAGGCTGACCAAACTTGTCAGAACTCTCCTTCCTCTTGCACTGTTCCATGTGAGACCTTTCAAAGACTTGATGTTCCCAGGAAGAGTATAGTTGGTTCTTTAATCATTGTGCAAAGACAGATATCTTAACATTCACCCCAGCTCCCTCCCTGTATACAAACCTTATGCTTAAACAATTTAAAGCTCCCTAGATTGATGTTTTATCTAGAAATGTCCTGTTAGGTATGAGCAAGAAGAGCCATAAACATTCTGTAGTCAGTTAAAAATTTTTAGGGACATTAACAAGCTTTATTCAATACTATTTGCAGATGATCTTGACAACCTCTGAGGAAACCACTCCTACATCTCAAGGTAGTAATTTTTTTGTTATTTTAACTGTTGTGTTAACTTCATGAGAGGCTGAATAGTTCTCTGTTCTCCTCCCTGCTTCCATCCGTACATCCTACCTCTGACCTGCTGCTTGGTGTCTCAAGCCACTTGATGCTGTTGAAACTCTGCACTGGCTGCTGGATAGCTCAGAACCTTCTAATGTGCTACAAATAAGCCACTTTGAATCTTTTCTGGAATATCCCCAGAAGTAAAACAAATAAAATCCCCCAAAGTTACCCATCTTCTGTGCTTCCAACCACAACCAGACTGCCTCTCTTCACACAAAAACCTCTTGCTGCATTATGCCTTCCTCAAAGACTCTCCTGGCCACTTGCTGTCTTCTGCCTGTGGTCTTCACATGTGCCCACTTTCCTATTTAGGGCAGTAGCCTTCTCTTGAGCCACACCCCACTTCAGTACAGTTACCCAGGCTGGTTTCTTCAGTTTCCTTCTGGCTTCTTCTCTTCCTGGCTCCTCCTGCTCCTTTATGGCTCCCCTAATTGTCCATTCTTCCTTCACAGAAGCCTTTCCTAGTCATCTTTCTAAATAAGTTCCCCAAACCTTGTTATTTCAATCGCACTTACGTGTGTGTGTGTGTGTGTGTGTGTGTATTCATTCTGCTTCCCTATGAGATTAAAGATCTTCAAAGATGGAAAACATGTCTCTTTTTTAACCTTTTAATACCCAGCACCTAACTCTGTCCCTCAGGCCTACCAGGTTCTTTTTCTCCCAGGTTCTTTCTCTCTCTCTGTCTCTCTCTATGCGTGTATGTTGTTGCTCACGTAAAATTCACATAACACACAATCAACCATTCAAAAGTGTATGATTCCATATAATTGGTACATTCACAATGTTGTACTGATACCACTTCTCTGCCTGGAAGGTTGTTAATTATATTTTTGGAATGAATAAGTGAGTAAACAAATAAAATATCTTTCCGAGCAATTCACCATATTCCCATTTTCCCGTACTAATGGCCATACAAGCCTGAATGAATATGCCAGAAGCCTAGCAGGAAAGAAACTGTTTTTAATCTCCTCATCACTTGAAAACCCCTATTTTCTTTATTAAATATGAAGGCAAGACCTGCTCATGAAGTCTAAACATTCTTTATGATTGCTTCCCCTAAGATCAAAACCCTAATGAGAATGTTGAACACGCTACCTGTTCTGATAAGATATATCAGAGCCATAGCCTACAGTAGATACACATACTATTTTCCATGTCAGAGAATCATTTTCTTTTTTGTTTTTTTTTTCTGTTTTTTGTGGGGGTTTTTTGGTACTGGGGATCGAACTCAGGTCCTTGCACTTGTGAGGCAGGTGGCTGAACCACTGAGCTAAATCCCCGGCCCTCATTTTCTTTTTTATTCATCCTTGTAAGGTATAGAAATCGTGTTCTACTCTGGATGTCAAGATGTAACCATGACACCCAAATACACATATTCATGTTTCTTTTCTGTGCCATAACCAGTAGAAAATTTCCTCTCTTTCAAATTTGCTTTCAAATCTAGGCTTTCCCATATCCTTCCAATGACCTCAAGTGCAAATTGGATTCAGTTACCAAATATTTAAAACAAAGTGTTAAGGGTTAGAGTGAGGCAAGGCATTATGAATTATTTAATAGTCAAGGTTAAAGGTAAATGGACATGTCAACCTTGAAAGCTGAGCATTCTGAAACTAACATGCAATTGACTATGCATCTCCATGCTACATTTTGACTTCAGTATGGTGTAAATGCCCACCCATACTGGATAATTTACAGCTAATACCAGAGAGCTGCAAGAAACTTCTCATCTTCTATTCATGCCTCCTCTAAGAAATGTTATCATCTTCTTTTTCCAAATTCCCTTTGCCTAGGTGAGGCCTATTGTTCTCATTCTGATCAATTATAATCATCTGGTAACTTACCTGCTAGTCTCCAGCCCTCTCATCTTCTGGCCATCAAAACCTAACTGTGACAGGTAGTCTGAATCTCAACATGTCCCTGAACAACACCTTTCAGTCTCCCTGTGTCCTGAAAAGTCCAAACTTCTTAATCTAACATCACATCTTCTATACTTCAGCTTTTCATTCTAGTCCGAAACTGGACTGCTCCTAGGCCCATGTCCCATGGATGCTTTATACATCCTCCCTCAGGCTGCTGGTTCAGCTCTTAGGATGCTTTTCTCCCATCTTCATCCTGTTCAGACATTTATCTCTGCACCCCAACAGTTTCTTATAATTCTTTCTCCTCATCCTAGAGGAGTGCCAGCCACAGAGGTAACAGGCATTTTGTTTTACTGGAGAAAGTGAATGAAAAAGTTCTTGCCACTGTCTCCTCCACAAACCCTCTCCTGACATCAGCTCTCCACTAAATAGGGATTCTTCCCTACTCTGTATATCTGTCACCCTTCATTTCTGTTTCTCATAGATAAATTTTCACTTATTAATTCTCATCTTCCAAAGGATACTGTATGTCTCTAAGGGCTTAGTCAGCTGAATCAATGATTAAGCTATGTAGTCCTGTACTGCATAGTACAGTACCTTGGTAATATTTATTTGATAAAAGAAAATTTATTTTAACAACCAATATAAGCACACTTGGGAAATTTGAGCTGATATTTTAGAGAGAAATTTATTGGATTTCTCTTTTTATTTAGGCTGCCTTAAGTACTCCGGTCGGTAGTCAGTGAAATCTTATTTATTATGATCTAGTAAATCAATAATTTATATGCTTATATTCTGAATATTGTGGCCAGTATGTCAATTCCTGTCTCTTTTTTGGTGGTGGGACAGAGGATTTGGAAAGACTGTAGAGTACCAGTTTGTAGTATCTATGGGCAATTTTTATCATTGATACTCCTTTAGAATCAGTAGTAGCTACTGGCAAAAAGGAAGGAAAAAAAAACATAACTGAGATGACAAAAACTGGTAGCACTCTAACTTTTTCTATATATTACTCATAGTAGAAATTTGCCAGTATCTGGTTATTTGGACACATTAAATCCCTCAGTAGTATTATTACAAGTTAACAGTTTTCATTTTATTTTGGTTTTGTTTTATTTTGTTTTTTAAAGAGGCCAGAATTTGTACTTTGTTGTATTTTATTTGGACCTTTCCTCTAAGATGCTGATATGTTCTAATCCATGGCTTGGCTTAATCTTTTCATCTAACGTACTTTTCAAATTAAATGTAAATTGAAATTGATTGTTTATCATGTTCAAATATAGTCTGTTTTTAGAAGACCCATGGGATCAACTTTGGAAATTCAGTGTGTTTACAATGCCTACATGGTAACAGCTATGAACAGCAATGTATTTTGAAAGCTAGCTTAACAAGTGTTGGTAATGCTGTATCATTTCTCTTTCAGAAAGACTAGAAAATAGTCTTATCCTAGAGACAGACAGAAGACCTCAGAGAACAGCAGCTCACATAACAGGGAACAGTCGGAAAAGCACCAGATCCTTGGATCTAGGTAAGAGAAACAGTGAACATCTGCTTTAGGGTGGAAATGTAGGTTTGTGACAGGGCCCGAGGTTAGCCTGCACAAGCCATTGGGTTCAATCCCCAGCTGTGAAAAGAAAAACATTTGTTTTTTTTAATCTGACTTAGAGGAAGCCAATGGAAGAACAGTTACAACAAATTTATGTTTTTAAGCCTTTACCTGCAATATTTATGTGGGTATTTTCAAAATGGTCAGTAATAATCAAGTCTCAGATTGATTTTTCAGAAACAAAATCCCAGAAAAATAGCTCAATTACTGCCATAGTATAACTGGCCCTGGGAAAAGTTTGAAGTGGGAGAATTTTGTCTTCAAGTTCCTGGGCTTCCATTTTGGCTTTTTCTTTTTCAGTTTCTTTCTCTCTCACGCCCTTACAATTACTTCTTCTGTCACTTTGCACTCTTTTTTTTTCTGCATTTGCATCAAATCTTCTCTTCAAAGGTTCTAAATCATTTCCTTTTACTATGAATCACTAGGAGCTCCTATTGGCTGTTACATTAAATTAAACCACAGGAAATTGCCAACATTTGACCACTTTTCACTTACAAAGATGTCAGTTTCACAGTTTAACCAAATATGTGAAGTCTAATTCTTGTTTGTAGAACCAAATGTCAATATAGTACTGCAGTTCAGCACATGAGTCTGACTGTAAATGCTCAAGCTGGAACTCCAGCTCCTCTTCACCTACATAAGTGGTGCGATCAGAAAATAGTTAATTTTAAAGACATTTATTACAGCAAGACACGCTGCCCTTAATTCCCCCCAAATACTCCCTCTTGCTTTGAACACACTGTTCCTACTATTCTGGCTGCTTTATGAAGCAGTTCTGGAATTCTTCTTTTGTAACTGTTCTCAGTTGCACTCTCATGACTGCCTTGATGTCCTGAATCCATTCAAAATATTTACCTTGGGGCCGGGGATTTAGCTCAGTGGTTCCAGCACCTACCTCAAAAGCGCAAGGTCCCGAGTTTGATCCCTGGTACCAAAAAAAAAAAATGTTTACCTTGGTCATTTTGACACGGGAGAGCCAGAGTCTTCTGGTGCCAGATCTGGTGAGTAAAGTAGATGAGGGCACAACCTTTTGGCTTTCCAAGCCTGCCTCTGCATTGGGCATCTCTATTTACATTTTAAAATCACACTTTCTAAAGACACTCAAGAAAGACAACTTTCAGAACTGCTTCAGAGAGTGACAGGAATAATGGGACAAGTGTGTTCAAAGGAAGAGGGAATATTTTGAGGAGGATTAATGACAATATGACTTTTACAATAATAAATTAAAAGTTTTTAAAATGCTCATCGTATATTTTGACCACTCCCTGTATGTTTAAAGCAAACTAATTAAACAAGTTAAGCTTCAGTTTCTTCACATACAAAGCAGGATAATCATAACCCATAAAATGATAAAAATTAACAGTAATTCATGCAAATTTGTCAGGCTTATTAAAATATGGACTCAATAATTAGTCACCTTTATAATTATAAAAGGTTTTGTCCCAAGATAAAGAAATTTCAGAAGTATCAGTTAATAAATAAAAAAGTTGTTTTCAGGTTTTTTTCCAGAAAGTTGACTTCTTGGATTTCTGAACATATATTTTAGAAATGATTGACATGCTCTGCTCAAAAGCAAGGTGATTATTGCAATGTTACTGTTTGCTGCTCATCAACAAATATGATCATTGTTTTAAAGCCTTGAAAAGCTAAATTTTGCACCATTCATGGAAATGAACCCAAAGTTTAAAAGAATATTATATTTTTGTAGGGTCCTTTTTCATTCAAAATGTTTGGGAGTTAAGATTCAAGGATCTGAGGATCTTTAAATTAGAGTTGCTGCTTTGTCAAACTTTGTCCCTGTCTTATTTTGTGCTAAAGATGCCTTCTGTTCAAATGGAACCTTTGCCTCTGGAGATCTGAGAAAGACCAAGGGTGAACTCAAAAGTCCCAAAGAAATAGCAAAAAATCCTGAGATCTAGGCTTAAGGAAATATGTAATTCTTTTGTTTGTTTTCCTTCTAGAATTTCCATTTGATTTCACCAGTATAGGAAGGAGGGAGAGGGTTCATGGACTGTGCTGTGTGCTACCATTCAGAGCTAAATGTGGCAGGTGCTGGCATAATTGGTAGATGTGGTACAGAAAGGCCAGGGATGTCCAGCAAGTCACAAAGATACAGGAGCCTCCTGATTTTATATGAATAGAGTTTATAATTCATGTAAGATTGAAGGGGCAAGAAATTTAATATTAGGCTGAAATCGATTACAAGACCAACAAAAATGTAGTCTGTGCACAGCTGCCAATGAACTCCTTGCTTTGCTCCAAATTCTCTCTGGTAACTCTTTCTTTTCCAATTTTTATCCAGCCTCCAAGCATGAAAAGGCCTTGGGCCACAAACTACAATACTGGGAGTCATCAAGGAAAGGACATTCATTCCTGAATAATTTGCACTTGAGGAATGGAGAACTGGTTATCCATCAAACAGGGCTTTATTACATTTATTCCCAAACATACTTTCGATTTCAGGAAAGTGAAGAAACTTCAGGAAAAGTTTCAAAGGAAGAGAACAGAAGGAGAAACAAACAAATGGTACAATATATTTACAAATTCACAAGCTATCCTGAACCTATACTGCTGATGAAAAGTGCTAGAAATAGCTGTTGGTCCAAAGACTCAGAATACGGACTGTACTCCATCTATCAAGGGGGTCTATTTGAACTTAAAGAAAATGACAAAATTTTTGTCTCTGTAACTAATGAAAGCTTGATTGACTGGGACCAAGAAGCCAGTTTTTTTGGCACCTTTTTAATTAGCTAAGTGATCTGCAAAGAAAAAGGTTGGTTTTTGTTGTTGTTGTTGTTTGAGTCAGAGTCTCCCTTTGCAGTTCAGGCTGGCCCTGAACTCACTGTGCAGCCCAGGCTGGCCTCAAACTTGTGATGATTCTCCTGTCTCCTGAGTGGTGGGATCACAGGTGTGTACCACCACACCTGGCTGCAAAGAAAAAGTAATAACTTCAAAATGACGATTCATCCTTGGATGAATGACTGAAAATCTATAGAATTTGCCAAGAGGAGCAGCCACAACTAAACGTGCCTGAAACACACACTTTTACTATCTCTGAAAATGTATCACTTCATTCTAAGACAATGAAATTGCCACAAGACCACTCAAGGCTCCACCTGATATCAGCTTGCTAGCAGAAATCTAAATGATTCTCAGATTTCAAACATTCATGCAACAAGATTCCAGGAGAATGACCAATAACTTATCACTTAAACAGTCACCAGCTGCAGGAATGTTCTCACATTGAATGAAAAAGAGCACCCCTAAAATATCCCCCATCGAGGAGGTGATCCTCCATCAAGGCATCCAGTGTAGCCACCCAGCTGGGGTGGTGGGCACCTATAGTCCCACTCGGGAGGCTGAGATAGGAGTCCAGGGGTTTGCTATCAGTCTGAGCAACACAAAAAGGCCTCATCTCAAGAAAAAAAAAAGGATTTGCAATGTCCAAAGGGGAATCTATAATGTGCAATACCTTGCAGGATTTTCTCCTATACCTGGATTTAGTGGAAATAAGCAAATTGCCTTCAAAGTACTCTTATCCAATTTAAGAAATAAATAGCAAAATTATGTTCAGGGATCTAGAAAGAACTAATTCTGAACAGCTGTGAGCTTCTCACTTCCAAACTTCAGGCTGGCCAAAATCACTGAAAATATTTTTGCTCAAGGATTCTGTGATGAGTGGTCAGTGCTAATCAGAAACGAAGGAACTTAGTCTCATCTGATCAAGGGAAGAAATGAGAAAGTGGAAAAGATAAACAAGTAGATAAGCAGTAAAGAACCGTATGTTGTGAGTCTCCCCACACCGAACATCAATATTTCATACTTATCTACTTAAAGTTGTATTGTTTATTTTGATCTGACTAAAAAACATTAACTATTTTTATCTTCCCAAATCAAAATACAAGACATTTCTTCCTTCTATAATTGATCTAACGAGTTGGGAGGTGGTGTTGTCTAATGTCTAACTGCTATTCTTTTTTTGTGTGTTTCTCATTCCTAAAGTCAAGCAGACACTAAACAGTGTCTATTGTGATAAAATGTGCCTAACATTTGCCATTTTAGCCATTTCAAGTGGACAGCTCAGTGGCATTAAGAATGTTCACACTGTTGGTCACCACCATCTACTTCCAAGAGTTTTCTATCACCCCTAAGTGAAACTCTGTGCAACAGCATAATTTATCCATGGTTGTGTTCCAAGATGATCATTTAAATGTGTGCTATTGTTTGGATGAATATTTCCCAAAAGTCTATAGGTAAAGGCTTGTTGCCCAGGGTGGTGGTATTGGGAGGTTTTTGGGCATTGGAGCTGTGTACTCAAGAGAGATTTTGATGTCTCTCTCCCACCCTTTCCTGGCTCCAAATGTGACTGCTTACTCCTGCCATGATGTGACACCCTCACCAGAATCCCACAGCTATGAGACCTCTAGACTTTCAACTGGAACACCAGAGCCATGAGCCAAAATATACCTTTCTTTACTTCTTAAGTAGCCTGTGTCAGGTCTTTCATTATAGGTGCAAAGCAGTTATGATGTGCTTTGGTCACCTAGGTCTTTTAAAATTATTTTTAAATTTTTTTTGGTGGGGGGGAGTACCAGGGATCGAACTCAGGACCTTGCGCTTGCCAGGCTGGTGTGGTGCCACTGAGCTAAATTCCCAGCCCACCTAGCTCTTTTTTGTTTTCTTTTTTAAAAATTTTATTTTGTTGGACTAGCTCTTTTTTTTAAAGTTTCATTTGAATTTAATTTTACATTGCATTACAGACAGCTGGCCCTTCTGACGTCTTCTCCCTTTATTTTTCCATAACATTAATAAGGATGTGTACATACTAATAAATTGTTACCCTGTCACTGAAAGACTGTCTTCTCTCAGGAGAATATAAACATTATGATACCAGGACACATTTAATCTTGATTACAACTGTATTTCCAGTATCTGAATGTAGTATATACAAAATATAATTTGTATAAAATATATTTGTAAATACACACAAAACATATTTGTAAATAATGTTCAAATGAATAAATACCTATCCTTACGGAAAAAAACAGAGAAGAAATATATCAGGAATTTTAAAACTTCAAAGTGGAGAAGAACATTTTAAGGTAAGATTTAAAACTAAGAATTAATTTTTACTTTATTTTTTATACTACCATTTTAAAGTGTATATGACTTTTTCAATAAAATGACCTTGTTAAATATATTGTTTTTGTTTGCATGTATGCATGTTTATTTGACATTATCATTACTAAAATGGGGGAGAAGACTTCTGATCTCTTTTTCAGTACAGCTTTTCTCTGATACATCCTATAGGAGAAAGAAATTGTTCATTTTTGCTTAATATGCTCAGTTGTATTAATTATTTCCCTCAAGGTTAATGTTTTGTTATGGGTAGAACTGTGTCTCCCAAAAGAGATAAGTTGAAGTTCTACTTCCCAACACTTTAGAATATGACTTTATTTGGAAATGCCACTGTTGCAAACCAGCATTCAGGAGGCTGAGGAATTCAGAAGTTTGAGTCCAACCTAGGCAACATAATAAAGACCTCCACTTAAAACAACACACACACACACACACACACACACACACACACCATGGTGTACAAATGGGAGTCCATATTGTGCAGTAGTTTGAGGCATTTTTTCATACACTTTGATTTTGTGGAAAAGAAATGGTACTAAAAATACTAGCATGTCATTTAAAACTAAATGTAACAAGTTGTAATTAGTTAAGATGAAGTCATAGTGGAATAAGATGGCTCCTTAATGCGGTATGAAAGATGACCTTTCAAGAAGAGAGAAAATTGGTTACAGAGAAGAAACACAGAGAACACCAGAGACCACAGACAGATTATAGTGTGCAGGCGCAAACTAAAGGACACCAAGGATGGATGGGCAGCAGCAGCAGCTAGGAGGAGACAAGGATTCCACCCAGCATCTCAGATGAGGCATAGTCCTACCAGCACCCTCTTCTTAGACATCTGACTCCAGAATTGTAAGATAATGAATTTCTGTTGTTTAAAGCCACCCTTGGATTGTGATACTTTGTTTCAGCAGTCCTAGGAAGAAATCTTTTCCACTAATCAAATAGCTATCACTATAGTTTCTAAAAGCTTTAAAGTTTGGCCTTCATAATTTAATAGTGTCATTCAACTGCAATTTAATTTGTGTGTGATGTGACATAGGAATCCACTTTTATCTTTTACCATAGAAAAATCCACGTGGGCATCATTTTTCTTTTGTATAGATCACCCTTTTTCCTACAGATTTTAATGTCTCTTCACACTTGATCTTAGCCAAAATGCTGAGAAGTGATTTTTAGTGTCTCTTCAAATACCATGTTTACTTGGGTATGTTTCTTTGTTTTTTCTTTTCCTCTAGCGGGCTATTTATCCATCTTACACCCATAGTATCCTTTCTTATAAAATTGTGGTCAAATATATGTAACAGAAAATTTACTATTTTAATCTTTTTCAACGTATAATTCAGTGGCATTGAGTACTCGGACATTATTTTGCAACCATCACTACTATTCATTGTCACAGTGTTTTCATTATCCTAAGCTGAAATTCTACAATTACACTCCATTACTCCCTTCACTCAGCCTCTGATAATTTCTGTACTTAGTTTCTCTATTAATTTAACTATCTTAAATATTTCATATAATTGGAAGTATATAATTTGTCCTTTTGTGTTTTGATTATTTTACTTGTAGCATGTCTTCAAGGATCATCCATGTTGTATCATCAATTAGAATTTCCTTCCTTTCTAAAGCTGAATAAAATTCCATTTAATGTAATGAAGAGTTTTGAAATCTTAGGCTAAACAATGACAACTATCAAATTTCCATAGCTGGATGTGCAACACCAATCTGAAGAAGAATTTATTGATTAAAAACTCCAAAAATCAACCAGCCAACACATTATATGCTATCAACTTAAAAGAATTGGTGACAATGTAAATGCAAATGTAAATAAAGTCCTTAACCATGATGCCAATAGGACAAAAGCCTTTTAAAAATAGACCAATGTCTCTTTTGAAACAATACAAAGACATTTATGAAATTAAGAAGAGCAAATCTCTCCTGTGTGTCTTTTTTTCATTCAAAAGTATCAAACCACATTTGATTATAAGAATAGTGACACCAAAATGATGAAGACAATCTACCAAGTCCTAATACTGATCCACAACATCTCATTCCTCAGCATCATCATCTGACATAATTAATGATAAAAATAATAGCTTCAACAGTCTTCCTATGCCTTTGCCCAACTTTTTAAAAAATTAATTTTATTGGTACATTTTAGGTATACAATATAATGATGTTCATTATTGGAAATTTGTACCTTTACATAATATATCTTGGTTCTTATTTTTTCCCCACTCATTTTTTTGGATGCTATTGTGAAAGTTGTTTCTCCAGTATCTCTTTCAGTGTCTCTGTTGTTCATGTACAGAAAAGCTGTTGATTTTTGTGTGTTAACCTTGTATCCAGCTACTCTATTAATCTGTCAATTAAGCCTAGAAGATTTTTAGCAGTTTTTTTGGTTTTCTATGAAGAGTATCATGCCATCATTAAATAATGAGTTTAACTTCTTCATTTCCTATCTTTATTCCTTTTACTTCTTTTTCTTGTCTAAGTGGTGTGGCTAATGTTTCCAAAACTATAATGAACAGGAGTGGTGATAGTGGACATCCTTGTCTTGTTCCTGATTTTAGTGTGAAGGATTTTAGTTTTTGACCATTTAGTATGATATTGGCTGTTGGTTTTTCATAGAAGGCTGTTCTGGGGTTGAGATAGAGACCTTCTATTCCAATTTTCTGTAGGGTTTTTATGATGAATGTGTGTTAGATTTTGTGGAATGCTTTTTCAGCATCTATTGAGATGATCATATGGTTTTTGCCCTTGACTGTATTGATATAGTGTATTACACTTATTGATTTGCTTATGTTGAACCATCCCTGTATCCCTGAGATGAATCCTATTTGGTCAGGGTCTATGGTCTTCTTGATGATCTTCTGCATTCTGTTTGCCAGTATTTTATTGTAGATTTTTACATCTATATTCATTAGTGAGATTGCCCTGTAGTTCTCTTTTTCAGTTGAGTCTTTCTCTGCTTTTGGGATCAAGGTGACGCTTGTTTCCAGGAATGAATTTGGGAGTATTGCTTCCCTTTTAATTTCATTAACAAATTTAAACAGTAGTGGCAATAGTTCTTCTCTAAATGTCATGTAGAATTCAGCAGTGAAGCCATCAGGACCCAGGCTTTTCTTTGTTGGTAAGTTTTTAATTACGTTTTCAATTTCATTGATCAATATTGGGTTATTTAGAATTTTTAGGTTTTCTTCTTTCAACTTTGGTAATTCACATGTATCTAGGAATCTGTCCAATTTCTTCTGCATTTTCCATCTGATTGGCATAGAGGTTTTCAAAGTAGGTATTGATGATCCTCTGGATTTCTACAGGGTCCATTGTAATTTCATCCTTTTCATTCTTAACTGCATGGATTTGAGTCTCTTCTTTCCTTTTTTTACACTTTATTTTTGGTACTGGGGATCGAACTTAGGACCTTGCACTTGTGAGGCAGTCAGCGGAACCACTGAGTTAAATCCCTGGCCTTTCTTTCCTTTTTTTTGATAAGGTTGGCTAAGGGTTTGTCCATTGCATTTATTCTTTCAAAGAACCAACTATTGGCTTCATTGTTTTTTGTATAATTCCCTTAATCTCCATTGCACTGATTTCTGCTCTGATCATTATAATTTCTTCCATTGTATGAGCTTTGGGTTTATCCTGCTCTCCTTTTTCTAGAAGGTTGAGGTTCAGCATCAAGTTGTTTATTTGAGCTCACTCTGTTTTTCTAATAGGAGTATTCACTGCTATAAATTTCTCTTGTAAGACTTGTTTCATTGTGTCCCATAGATTCCGATGTTGTACTGGCACTGTCGTTTAATTGTAGAAACTGTCTGATTCCTTCTTTAATTTCCTCTGTGACACATTAGTTATTCAGAAGTGTGTTGTTCAGTTTCCGTGTGTTAATGAAATTCTTGCAGTTTCTATTGCTATTGATCTCTAATTTCATTGCACTATGGTCTGATAATATACAGGGGATAACTTCAATCCCTTTGCACTTACTTAAACATGTTCTATGAGTGAGTATGTGGTCTATTTTGGAGAATGACCCTTGTGCAGCTCAAAAGAATGTGTATTCTGATTTTGTGGTATATGTAAACATCTGTTTCCATATGTTCAAGAATTTGATTGAGTTCTAGTATTTCATTGTTTATTTTTTGTCTAGTTGATCTATTTGTGACACTGGGGTACTATTGACACTGAGGTACTACTGTACTAGTGCTTATTTGATTTTTCATGTCCTTTAGTATTTGTTTTATATAGTTGGGCACACTAGTATTTGGTACATATATATTTATGATTGTCATCTCTTCCTGTTGGATTGTTCCCTTTACAAGGATGTAGTGGCCTTCTTTGTCTCTCTTAATTAGTGTTGGTTAGAAATCCACTTGATCTGTAAAGAGGATAGCTACTCCTGCTTTTTTTCAGATTCCTGTTGCATGGAGTATTGTTTTCCACCCTTTAACTTTCAGTCTATGAATTTCTTTTTGAATTAATTATGTTTCTTGTATGCATCATATTGTTGGATCTTACTTCTTGACCCATTCTGCCAGTCTATTTCTTTTGATTGGTGAAGATGGTTATAACTGATATGTATTGACTTATCCTTGTCATGACTTTTTCTTTTTGTTGGATTCTCCCTCTTTGCATTTAATTTCTTGTCATGCCTGATGGATTCATTCTTCTGGGCTTTGTGGGGTTGTGAATCTCCTTGTCTTTTCCTAGGATATTGTTTAAAATTTTTTGGAGTGCTGGTTTGGTATTTATGAAGTTCCTAAGGTGCTCTTTGTCATGAAAGTATCTTATTTCTCTTTCAATTTCAAAAGATAGTTTTGCAGGGTACATCAATCTGGGTTGAAGGTTGTTTTCTTTTAGGGCTTGAAATACTTCACTCCAGGCTCTCCTTGCCCTGAGGGTTTGTGTTGAGAAGTCTGCTGTGATTCTGACGGGCTTTCCTTTGTATGTGATTTGTTTCTTTTCTCTAACTGTTTGTAGAATTTTATTCTTCTGTTGGATTTCTGGAATCTTAACTGTTGCATGCCTTGGTGTAGATTTTTTTTAATACTGGGTAGT